GGGCAGTGTTTCTGCACGTTAAATGCTTTACAACTGCTGTGTGTTTCAGGAGAGAGTTAAATTGTAAACCAGCAGCTTCACAATTTTGGAATGGGATTCTGGGACAGGGTGTGTAAGCAACTGGAGCATCATGGTGGGGTAGTCAGCATCAGTCCTGGGAGCCTAAGGAGCTCCATTTCTGTGAAGACATAGCAGACAGAGTCAGTGCTCAGGACATGTGCCAGAGAGGCCTAGGGAGGAAACAGTGCGGGCAGCCTGCTGAGACACAGGGAAGCTTAAATACCTGAGGATCCACAGGGTTGGGTTCCCCTCTCAGCAGTCCAGTGGGTAGCTGGACAGGAGCCACCAGCTGGATTTGTGACACTAACATATACTATTCTAAAGGCAAATATCTTTTTTGAGATCCACAAAGCAACAATTTTTTTTTTGCATATTCTGCATTTATTCCTCAATTTCTGCTGACATTCATGAGTGCTCTGCAAGCAGAATGAATGCAAAATGTGCAATAGAGAACTGCACTGTGGATCAAAGATGAGACTTGTTCCCTAAATAATGAATGAATACCTTTTTTCTATTTGTTCCATTTTTTTCCATTAGTGGAAACTCATTCTTTATCATAAACCATGGTTTCTTCCTCACCAAACTTTAGTCAGATATGGCAATCATTCAAGATGGAGTCTTAGATTTGCATTATATACAAATTTACCTCTAGAAGAGAATTGCTAGTGCTTGAAAATTATTCAAGGTGGCAAGAGGTCCTTATTTAAGATAAAAGGAAAAATGCCCAATCACTCAGCTAAGCAGGAAACAGTTTTCAATTTCCCTTCTAGATCCTAAGCATATCACCTCTTCTGATACTGGAAGCAAAAGATCTCATGGCACCCTTATAATTATTTATATATTACCAAAGTGCCCAGGAGCCCCAGTCATGGACCAGAACCCCTCTGTGCTGGATGTTGTATAAACAAAAAACAAAAAGACAGTATTCCTCTCCCAAAGAGTTTACAATCTAAGCATAAGACAAGAGATGACAGCTGGATACAGACAAACCGGGGAGTACACCTCTACCCCGATATAACGCGACCCGATATAATATGAATTCGGATATAACGCGGTAAAGCAGCGCTCTGGGGGGAGTGAGGGGGTGGGAGACTGCGCACTTCGGTGGATCAAAGCAAGTTCGATATAACACGCTTTCACCTATAACATGTTAAGATTTTTTGGCTCCCGAGGACAGCGTTATATTGGGGTAGAGGTGTATAAGGAAAAAATGATACAGCATTGATCGGTATGATAGGCAGGGGTATCAGTGTACCAGCGACCTAATCGTTGTCAAATTTTTTGTGGACATCACAGCAAAGGAGAGTTTTAAGGAGGATTTTGAAGGAGGATAGTGAGGTAGCCCTGCAGATGTTAACAGGAAACTCCTCCCAAACATGAGTGGCAGCATGGCAGTAAGCACAAATACATGACTGAAAATTTGAGAAGTGGGTGGGAGGCTAGCATTATTGGTCAAGAGAAGATGCAAGTCCACATTTCAGTACTAAATGAGATGTCAGATGCAGTGGGGATAAGCCACAAAGGACCCTGAAAGTGAATACAAGCAGTTTATGTTTGATGAGATAGAGAAGGGGGAGCCAGTGGAAGGATTCAAAGAGAGGGGTGAAGTGGTCAAAGTTAAAGGCTAGGAGAATGGTCTTTGTATCATCATGCTGAATGGATCTGAGCGGGGCAAGATTGCAATGAGAGAGAGAGAGAGAGAGAGAGAGAGAGAGAAAAGGGTGTTGCAGTAATCAAGACACAAGATGATGAGAGCCTGGATGACCTGTTTTAATAAGAAAGGCTGTATCTTGGACATGTTATGCAGAAAGGATCTGCAAATTTTAGATATAGCCTGGATGTGAGGACCCAGAGAGAGGTCCTAGTTAACAATGACACCCAGGTTACAGGCCTGCATGACAGGCAGGATAGTGGTTTTGTTCACAGTGACTAAGAAAATAGGTGTGGGAAAGACTTGGAAGAAAAGATTAAGAGCTCTTATTTAGCTATGTTTAGCTTGAGCTGGTGGCTAGACATCCATGAGGAGCTATCAGAGAGAGAGAGAAAATTTAGTACGGACAAGAGGAGACAGATCTGGCGTACAGAGGAAGGTCTGTAAAATTATCAGCATAGAGATGGCAATTGAATTTGTGTTTGTGGATGAGATTACCCAGAGATAAGTATAGAGAAGGGGACCAAAGATGGAGCTTTGTAGAACCCCACAGAAAATTGGAGAGGGGACAAAGAGGATCCTGCAAAGGACAAACTAAAAAGTGATTAGAGAGGTAGGAGGAGAAGCAGGAGAGGACAGAGTCATGGAAGCCAAGGGAAGACAAAAATTCAGGAGTAACAGCATGGTCTCAGACTCAGACTTTAAAGCCAGAAAGGACAATCATGATCATCTAGTCTGATCTCCTGCACATTGCAACCCACAGAACCTCACCCACCCACTCCTGTAATAGACCCATAACCTCTGGCTGAGTTAATGAAGTCCTCAAATCATGGTTGAAAGACTTCAAGTTACAGAGAATCCACCATTTACACTAGCTTAAACCTGCAAGTGACCTATGCAGAGGAAGTTGAAAAACTCCCAGGGTTTCTGCCAATCTGACGAGGGGAAAATAATTTCCTGACCCCAAATATGGCAGTCAATTAGACCCTGAGCATATGGGCAAGATTCACGAGCCAGATACTTGGGAAATAATACCTATCTTATAGAACTGGAAGGGACCCTGAAGGGTCATTGAGTCGAGTCAAGTCCAGCCCCCTGCCTTCACTAGCAGGACCAAGTACTGATTTTTGCCCCAGATCCCTAAGTGGCCTCCTCAAGGACTGAACTCACAACCCTGGGTTTAGCAGGCCAATGCTCAAACCACTGAGCTATCCCTCCCCCCAAATAATTATCTGTAGGAACTCAGAGTCCTCCCATCTAGTGTCCAGTCACTGGCCGTTGGAGATATTTGCCACTAGCAGTTGCAGATCAGCTACATGCCATTGTTGGCAGTCTCCTCATATCATACCATACCCTCCATAAACTTATCAAGCTCAGTCTTGAAGCCAGTTTTTTTCTCCCACCACTATTCCCCTTGGTCAACTTTGTCAAAGGTGGCTGACAGGTTAAAGAGGATGAGGATAGATTACTGGTTCTGAGATATGCCTAGAAAGAGGTCTGTCTGTCTATTTCAGTATTTATATAATGTGAATCACTTTCATATCTTGAGGCAGAGCACCAAAACCATTCAAATTATTTATTCCCCATTTAAAAATAGCAATGGTTACAAGCAGTCTTTTTAGAGAAAGGCATTATCTTGGTATTATCCATCAGGGGTCTTCATGAAACAAACAGAAATCACTACTTTCATGATGTCCACAAGTTATTTTTTTTAAAGAAGAAAAACTCAAACATATTACTCTTTTAGATGTGTGCATAATTATCTACACAACCTCATGTTCCTGTGGTTATGGACCCTTCTTCCTGCTCTGTAATTACTTTATTTTTACACTTGTATGCTTTGTCTTTATTTAGACTGCAAACTCTTTGCAGCAGGAACTATATCTTCATCTGTAAAATACTTTAGTGGTAATAATATTACTTCTTGTTAATAATAATAAAAAGCGAAAGCTGCCTTGAATACAAAGAGTCCTGCAAAGTCAATTATTGGAATTTAAAATCTCATCTTTTCAGAAAAAACTCTGTAGTAAATGAATACAGAATAGAAGCTATTTTCCAAGGCATAACAGGTACTCACATAGGACAGACCCAGTCAGCTACTCTGCCAAACTAAAGTTATTATTATATCCACTCACTGCAGATGAGACAGGGACAAAATATACACATATATTAATCCCAGATAATAGGGTATCATTGTATAAAATACAATTCCAATGAATAGATATTTTAAAAAACTGATTGACATTAAGGCTCTTATACACCAAAAAATTTAAATCTATTCTGATTCTTCACATTCTATAAAACGCTGTCTCCAGGAGAAGGTAAAATGTAATATTATGACCAGTCTGCCCCATCATCTAGTATGGTAAACAAAGGCGCTACTCTAAACACAAGGGGGAAAGATTAACACATTGACATGGAAAATATATGGCTTAGTTCATAGGAATTCCATTCATGAATATGTACTTTCAACAATGACTAATTCTACTGATTACAAAGCATCAATGTACTAGTCATAGCATCTACAAGTTTTTAATATTCTACTCTGACAGATAACTACCCAGAAGAAATAGGATTAATACAATTTACCAGAATGTGCTGTAACTTCATATGATGTAACTGAATATTTGAACTTCCCAATAAGGCTAAGTTTTCACAGTAGCTACACACATTTAATAGTTTTGAGACTTTTTTTCTATTACGAGCGGATACAAATGGGCTGTATTTACCATGACCTACCACAGTAAAACAGTTTGAGTTTGGTGATTCAGATAGAAATCATTTCCTGAATTCTGAGAAAAGATCCCAAATATTGAGTCCCTTGAGAATTAATTACATCAATGATCATATTTTATTGCAAAAAAGGTTGTGTGCAGTGCTTTAAGATTTTCATTTCACCCACACAGTAGATTAAAAATGAGGATGTGTTTTAGTCTTACAAGCATTTTGTAATTCATGATATTTCTTTCACCTCTAACCCCAACCCTGAAAACGCTGCCGCATGGAACCGCCTGCATCTTGATTATACTTCTTAATACAATATGTCCACATTTGAAAATCTATGTCTATGAATAGGTAAAATCTGCCACCTACTGGTCAAGCAAATAATTATTTCGTCAGCATTACAACAAGGACAGTCATAAATGCAGGAAAATGTACTTATACTTTGTAAAAGTTCAGTATTTTCTTTACAAGGACAAATGGTTATAAGGAATAGTTTTAACAACAAGACTTATTGTAATCATATGCTCTCATCTCCAGAGTACTAGTAGGTTGTAATTGCACACACCTGCCAATAAAATCATCCCTTTTGCCAGCATCTTTGTCCCACACAGTAATATCAATAATTCCACCTCGCTCTTCATAGAGATGAAAGTCAAATTGCTCCCTCCACTGAGGATTTAACGTTTTTGGCACAATCTGAAAGGAGAGTAAAGAAAGTCATTATTGCACTGTGCAGCCATGTTCTTCCTGAACAGTGAAATTAATCTTTAGATGCTGCCCAGAAAGTCTTATTCACACAATTAATGGGTTTAGTGGTGATTTTTTTAAAGGAAAAAAAATAAGGCTACTGAACAACCCCATGCCCCGTTGGACATAGTACCAACCTCCAAAATCTCTCAGTTCATCACCGCTGAAAGTCTGTAAAACAATGAATTTGCCCTGGGAACTGAACCATTTTTCTCTAGAGTAATGATTCCTCATCTTGAGTGACCGGAAAGTGACAAAGTTGTCTTTCTAAAGCAAAACCAAAAAAAAAAAAAAAAAGGCTACCTGAAAATGACAAATAGACTGAAACTGAAAGCATTTAACCAGCAACTGCAGTTAACCAGTTTCGCATGATCTCCTCCTCTTTTTCTTGCCATTATAATGTTTGAGGTTGTAGGGGTGGGGAAAATGAATTTACCAAGCTAATTTGTTGTTTATTTTTAATTACAGGAGAAGATGCAAATGAATTCAGGTTGAAGTAGACAGCTTCAATAGTGATTTTTACTCTAGTTATCTCTGAGAAGAGGTTATTCACCTTGTGCAGTAACTGCTGTTCTTCAAGATGTGTATCCCTGTGGGTGTTCAACTTCAAGTATGCCTGCACCCCATGCACCTTTGAGCAGAGATTTTAATTAGCTGTGCCTGTTCAACCCACACATGTGCTCCAGACCATCCTTATGCCTTGCACTAAGGATACATAGAGCGGCACAGGCAAACTGCCCTCAGTTCCTTCTCCGCCATGAATTTCCTTGAGACAACTCTGAAGCATAGGCAAGGAGGGCAGATAGTGGAGCATCCATAGGGATACATATCTTGAAGTGAGTAAACTCTCCTTCTTCAAGTAGTGTTCCTATGAGTGCTCCACTTCAGATGACTCCCAAGCAGTATCACTGGAAGATAGAAGAGTCAAGTCCAACACTGAAGATAGCACCGTATTACCAAGCACAGCATGTGATCTGGCATCGTGAACCATGGCATAGAGTTTGGAGAAAGTATATATTGAAGCCCAGACGGCCTCTCTCAAGAGTGCCATGGAAGCAGACTGGAATCTTGTACAATGGGCTAACACCCTACAAGGAAGTTGAATATTGGCAGCCTCATCCAGAGATCCACTTTGAGAGTCTCTGAGTGGAGACTCTGGATTTGTTTGTCTGTAAATTAAACAAAACGTGGAGACTTTCTAAAAGTCTCTAAAAGGTTCTGTCCAGATAGATGGCTAATGCCTTCTGACATCCAAACAGAGCCGGCTCCAGGCACCAGGCACCCAAGCTGGTGCTTGGGGCGGCACCTGGAGGGGGGCGGCGTGGCGCTCCGGCTGCCGGGGAGAGCGGGGCCACAGCCGGGCTCGCCGCCCTCCCCCCGGCGCTCTGGCCGCCCTCCCCCCGGCCGCCGGGGGGAGAGCGGCGAGCCCCTGCCGGGGCTCGCTGCCCTGCACTCTGGCCACCGGGGGGAGAGCTGAGCCCCAGCCGGGGCTCGCCGCCCTCTCGCCGCCCTGCCCCCGGCGCGCTGGCCGCCGGGGGGAGAGCGGAGCCCCCGACGGGGCTCCGGCCGCCCCCCCCCTCCGGCCGGAGGCTTTTTTGCCTGGGGCGACAAAAAAGCCAGAGCCGGCCCTGCATCCAAAGCATAGAGGATGACTTCCTCTGTGGTCTGGTATGGTTTTGGAAAAAAGACTGGAAGATAAACAACCTGGTTGATATGGAATTCAGAAGATACCTTTGGTAGAAACTTCAGAGGTGGTTGTAACAAAATTTTCTCCCTGAAGAATACTGAAAAAGAGATGGTCTTCCATTAAACCACCGATTTCTCCAACTTGTCGGGCAGGGCTTATGGCCATGAAAAAAAGCCACTTTCATGGACAGGTGAAGGAGGAAACAGGTTGTCGTAGGCTCAAAGGGAGTTTTCATGAGACAATTAAAGACCAAATTTAAATCCCATACAGCAGTGTACTCTCTAATCTGTGGGGAAAGTTTCATCAACTCCTTGATGAATCTTGCTGTTGTGGGGTGAGCAAACACTGAGAATCCCTCCACAAAGGAATGAAATGCAGCTGCAGAGTGAACCTTGATGGAAATCGTGTAGAGACCTGACTTTATCAGTTCCAACAGATAGACAAGAACAGTGGAGAACGAAGGAGGAACAGGTGGAAACTGTCATCAGGTACACAAGTGGTGAAATCTTTTCCACTTCTGAAGGTAAGTGTTTCACGTAGATATTTTCCTGGTGTTTAACAATACCTGTTAGACTTCTGCAGAACAGAAAGTCTAAGACCCTGAAAACCATTAAGTAAACAAGCTCTACGGTGAAGAATTCCTAGGTTCAGATGAAGAGGTGATGGGAGTCCTAAGAAAACAGGTGAGAAATGGATGGCAGTTTCGATGCCAGACAAGAAGCGAGACGATTCATATAAGGGTACTGGCTTTGTTGTTTGTTCTCATTCAACACGCTCAAGACAAATGGTGTTATAGGATATACACAGAGAAGGCTTTTCATCCAAGCAATAAGGAAGGCATCCCCCAGGGACTGAGGACCCATTCCTCCTGTGGAACAAAATTGTATGCACTTCCTATTGGTGGTGTTGGGAAAGAGGTCCACTTCTGTGAACCATCAAGTCAGAAAAATGTGTCTGAGAACCCGCAAGTCCAGTTCCCACTCAATCTTGGGAGAAATGCCTGTTGAGATTGTTGGCCATGATCCTTTTTACTCATAGGAGGCTGAGATGAAGATATGATTGGCTATTCACCAGTTCCATAGCTTTCTTGCTTTGACACAAAGACGGGGGGATCTTGTCCCACTCCTTGACTAATGATGTAGAACATTCAAACCATGTTATCTGTCACAGCCTTGACAGATGTGTTCCTGATTAATGGAAGGAAGTGGATATAGGTGTTTCTGACAGCTCTCAGATTGAGGAGGTTAATGGGAGAAGAGACTCCTGGAGTGTCAGCAGTTGGGTGCAATTTCTTGCCAATGTTTGGAGGATCATTTGAGTCTTGTTAAAGTCATAAACCTGTCCACAGAAAGGTAAGATCTGATTGTTGCAGCATCCAGATAAGCCCCTCTGAAGTGTATTTATTGTACTGAGGTCAAAATGGACTTTTCAATGTTGAGTTGAAATCCTAGCCTGAGGAATAGGGACATTATTGACTGTACTGCAAAGAAAAACAGCCCTTCAGCAGCCAATCATTGGGGTAAGGGAATCAGGTTGTCAGTTCATATCAATGAGCAGCTACCACCTCTGTGATCTTTGAGAATGCCCTTGGGGCAGAGGAGAGGCCAAAGGGAAGCACTTGATATTGGAAGTGATCCTGACCGACTAATCTCGTGTGAGAGGCATGAATAGCAACATGAAAATATACATCCTGAACGTTGAGGGTTGCAAACCAATCTCTGGAATCTAATGATGGAATTGTAGCTGCAAGAGACACCATCCTGAAATTCTGTGATTTCACAAAGGCATACAGGAGCCTAAGATCTAATATTGGTCTCCATTTCCCATACTTTTTTTGGAACCAAAAATAACTTGGAATAGAAGCCCTTCCCCTTGTGCTGGATTGGAACTGGTTCTATGGCCACTATGAGTAGGAGAGAGATGACTTCCTGTCTCAACAGTTTGTGAGATGGGCCCCTAAATAGGGTTGGAGATAAGATGGTTAGAGTAACCCATTGTTATAATCTCCAAAACCCATTTGTTGGAAATAATCTGTTCCCAGGCAGGTTGAAAATGGGAAAACTGATCTCCAAAGGGTTAAAACTGGGTATTCGCAAAAGGAGGATATTCCCAGACCTTCAACCAGACCATCATCATGGCTGAGGATGACAGTTGGGTAGTGGTAACAGTTCCGTTAAGGTGTCTCTTTTTTGATATCTTGATCTCTTTCTTGGTGGCTCTACAGAACCATGATACTTCGAAATCTAGACCATTTGGGATCTCTGTGTGGTTTGAAATCTACTATATTTTCTTTGATTGCAGGCATATATATTCTGAGAGACGTGAGTGTGCTCTGAGTCTTTTAAGGTATGTAAGGATTCATCCGTGGACTCTGAAAAGAGCATGAGTCCATCAAAAGGCAGGCCCTTCCACAGTCTTGGACCTCCTTAGGAAAACCAGATAATTGTAATTGGGATGCTCAATGCATGATGACGGTGGTGGAGATGGACTGAGCCACAGTCAGCTGCATCTAGGGAGGCTTGCGATGAGGTCTTTGCTAAGAACTGACCTTCTGTTATGATGGCTCTGGACTGTTCTCAGGTGTTCCTCAACGAGATGTTCAATAAAGTTGTTGAATTTACCATAACTGGGGTGGTTGTATTTTGCCATCAGAACTTGGTAATTTGTGATCCTGAATTGCAGAATCACTGCAGAGTAGCTGTTGTGACCAAACAGATCAAGTCACTCTTGGTCTTTGTTGTAAGGCTCATTTTTTGCATTGTGCTGTTGTCACATTCGTTGATTAAATAATTTGTTTGTGGGTGGGAGAAAAAAAAACCTCAGAATTTTTGGCTGGCATGTAATACTTTTGTCTGCCCATTTACAGAGGCCATGCCATGACAGGGGTCTGCCAGATGGTTTTAGCAGGTTCCATAAGAGCCTTATTGACTGGCAACACAATTTGGCCAGAGACCGTCAAATGTACAACGTCCAAAAGTTTATGTTCTGACTCTTGGATCTCCTCTAAGGAAACTGGAGTGAGTCAGCAACATGTTTAATCAGTTCCTGGAACTGTTCAAAATCATCCACCAAAGAAGGTGGTCGAGGCATTACATCTTCTTCTGGAGATGACAGAGATATTTGTATTGGGGTGGGGGGTTCACCTCTAGCTTCTTGCTCCTTGAAAGTTTCCTCTTGAGGCTGAGGAGGAAGATATGGTACAGGAGATTTTTCTATGCTCCCCATGGGAGTAGCTAGGAGCTTTCAAAAACTGCTGGTGATA